ATCGATAGGTTTGTTATCCATGTGGTACTGCATATAGAGTGCAGTTGGATCCGATCTTTTGCGTTAGAACTCTGAAATTATGAGTAGAGCCAGTACTCTGACGTGTGCGGAGTAAAGCAGTGAGTTCCTTTAAAACATTGCCGCAATTTTTCTTTCCATGAGATGTAAAGTTTAGGCCTACTGACGAAAGATTTCCTTGGGGTTGTGACTGTTTGTACCCTGTAGTGTAATTTTTTTAATGCTAGTGGGGTGGGGCTAAGTCTCTTGTACTTCGGCCACTTCTGGCGTATTGTACCATCCCCAGATGATAGGTGAGGGTTATTGTGGAGCAATTGGTGGAATGAAGATTGGCAAAGGAAACCGAAGTACTCGGAGAAAACCTGCCCCAGCGCCACTTTGTCCACCACAAATCCCACTTGACCAGACCCGGGATCGAAACCCTCTGGTGTAAGGTTTGGCGACAACAGAACTTGGCATCCTTCATTTTGCTACGAAGGATGCACGAACAACCGGCAGTGGAGAGTGAGCATGTGCATTATTTTGCGTGAAAGGCAAGATGAAACGTCTCATAAGGAATGAGGAAATGGTCTTAACATATTCAAACTATAGGGAAAGTAAAGTGAAAGATTTGAGGATATTTGGCGACAGATATCCAGTTCACCTTTCACCCACATGGTGGAAGTAATTACACCCTTGAGCATGGCATCGACCGTAAATATCCTTCAGATGGAACAGCTGTTGCGGTGGGAAGTGATACGTTGACAGCTTCGCAGTCGTGAAGTCTGTGAAAGCCACAGTTAGGCTTGTTTATTGAATTCAGTAAGACTGAATGACAGACCAAACTGTGAATTAAAAATACCAACACATGCAAGATTTGAGGGCCCCACAGTGGTGGTCATGAAGAGTTCTCTTTTCTCTAACGCCGTGTAGTCCGTTGAAAATGAACTGACGTTTCGGAGGAACATGACGCCTCCATCTTCAAGGTCGATTGACAAGCCAAGCAAGAAACTAGCGTGAAGCAGGTAGCAATCTCTGGTGGACGCTGTTTCTTCCTCGTTTTATTCTTCGATCCTGAAGATGGAGACATTATTGGATTTATAAAAGTGAAAAGGCTTGAATGTGCTGGACACATAATACGTGCCAGCGAGAATAGAACCGTCAAGAAAATGCTTAATACTAAACCAGAAGGAAATAGGAGAGTGGGAAGACCAAGGTTAAGATGGGAAGAATGTGTGTGGCAGGACATAAGAATTTTGGGTGTAAAGAACTGGAGGAATGTAGCACCGAATAGAGAAGAATGGCGAGCAATCCTGAGGAAGACCAGGGCTCACAAAGGGCTGTCGTGCCAGTGATGATGATGATGATCCTGAAGATGGAGGCGACATGTTCTTCAGAAACGCCGGTTGATTTTTAGTGGACTTCACGACGTTATATCCCAGAAGATGGAAGGTTTCATACCAATACATGTTTGTAATTCTTCTGTATATTATTCTGATATGAGTGGTTAGCATTCTTGATTTGTATTCAGGCGCTCCAGGCTTCAGATCTCGGTATAGAAAACAGCACATCTGTCTCTGTCAGACATCTGTCATTTCAACGCGTACTGCGTATGCGACAACCGCAAAATGCTTAGTCGTGAGCAGTTGTGTTTGAGGGTAGAACGCCTGCAACATTAACCAGCAAAACACTAGACAAAATGTTGAATGATTAGTGTAATGCACGTTTGTAAACTATGCTCCTCCTCGTGTGTGTTTAGTATGGCCTGTACACAATGAGGAGCTGCTTCCTGTGTTTTACCAGTGGCGTGACTGAACAAAATGGCCGCAGCAGCCACAGCACGCCAGCCGTCATGATGGTGCACAAAAGTAGATAGATGTTCATGGACTGCATAGTATGTATAAATGTAACGAGGAACATGTTCCAGTGCGGTACTTATTCGCCTTAAGAAGGAAACTTCTACACAAGAATACCGTGACTGTAGGTCCTTTAGGGTGCATGTTTTGTGACTTCGATAAAACAGTTCATCGTTGATTTGTCAGTTCTGGGTTCAGTGTTACATATTGCATTCCGCATCTGATATTAGGGTAAAACGTATAACCACGCATTTCTGCCTTCGGAAGGACAAAGATTGAGTAGCGTGCTATACAACAGGCAATCACAGTGGTCGTACGGTCCAAGGCATGAAATGTCTTAGCTCACTCGAACACTGGGGTCGTGGGTTCGAATCCCACTCAAGGCTTGGATGTCTGTGTTTATTTTGTGTTTGTGTTCGGTACCAGTCTTGCAACGGACTGATCCCCCATCCAAGGAGTCCTATCGACTGTCGTAGATTAAGAAACTGAAGTGAAACAAAACGTTTCACGGATGCCCTATGCTCCAAGTGGAGGTAACAGAAGAAGAAGAAGAAAAAGAAAAAGGAGGAGAAGGAGGTTTGTTCTGCAACTTTCTGGGTCACGCTGTTGCTTCGAACACCGGTGCTTGCCGTAGTAGGAGAAACGTGCTTGGGCTACAATGTGCTAATTCTTGTCGTGTCTTAATACGATTATATTTAAATCTCCATCAGAATTTTGCCCTGTGACTTTCAGTTCGGAGCCGATGGTATCATGTCTTGTTCCTCGTTTCTCTCTGGTATTATTTTCCATTCTTTCAGAAATCATTGCACAGGCATTGTCACGGCGTAGAGTTCATGTTTAGAAACTGCATGAGGCATGTTTTACCTCATGAAAACTGCAAAGAAAATAACTATATAGAGCAAGCAGCTAGAACCACGCCGGACTTAAACGTGCGTGAAGCTGTCGTGCTCTGTCGCGGGGAGTTCTGTTTTCCCACCAGCTGTTTCGGGGTAGGCCTACTTTTGGAAATGGAAGGTTCAGTGATAAGCAGCGGTTAGATCACGACTCGTAAAGCTACATGATAACATAGTAGTGATACTTGATAGGCCTGCAAGGGAAGAAAGTAGTTCACCCCCCCCCCACAAGGAAAATCGTGTTTAAAGTGATGACGAAGTACAGAGAGATATTTTGATCCAAAAAACGTGAAAGGTTATTTAGTATTACGGTGAAGAAGTAACATAATTCTAAGCATGCCATATGTCTATAGGGTCTGTATTTCAGTACAAGGTTGGTAGTTAGCACTCAGCAGCTCTAGGCTGAAAAACGTTTGGGTACCCCTGTTATCTGTGTTTTGAACAAGTACGGAAGTAGTATGCCTTTCTTTCTCACTTGCCACACACAAATAACAATTAGTAAAGGTATTCGTACTGACGTTAATGTAAACTCATCTTCTCAAACAGGTCCGTAACATTCTTTCCATTGTTTTAAAGACGCAGTAAGTAACTGACTACCTCACATCTTGTAGAAACGTGTAGCAGCTCAGAACACTTCGGTCGTCTCTTCAGGTCTTTCACCTGCATTTTGTTGCACACTGCGTTTCGTTACGTAGCATAGATCCGTGTACTACTTGTTGCATATGAGGGTCTTACAGCAGCGGCAGTGAAGAGCTCCGTCTTCTGCGATATTACGTCACGTAGTCCGGGAAATGTCAACCGAAATGTCGGGTTACTCCCCAGACAAAGCAGGATTAAATCTCGGAAGATAGAAATCTTAGTACAGCAAGGAAAAAGATAAAGCTGTCCCTATGCTTAACTAATTAAGCACTACGCCATTAAGACGTACGGGGGTGTGCATGTATAGATCCACATTTTCTTGACTTCTCCACTAGTTGGAGGTGAGTGGTCAGCTTCACACCCCGGCCGCTTTGCCCCCGGGGAAAGAACCCCCAGTACCCATTCTATAGGAGGTTGGGTGGGGTCCACAGCCAGTCTGGACTATATGAAAAATTTTAAATTCTTGCCCCCGCCGGGACTTGAATTCTGACCCCTTGGTCGTCCAGCCCATAGCCAATCGCTATACCGGCTCCCTTCGTATCGTACAGTGGTAATGAGAAGATAATAGTTATTCAGTTGACCTGTAGATTCACTTCATTTTACAGAACACTAATGTTCTTTCCCTTAATCAACAGAAGCCGTCACTGTTCCATTCCCCAAGCAACATGAATGCAGTCCACACCATCGCACCCGGTTTCATTTAAGACATATTTTAATACTGCCTTTTCGTTCATGACAAGGACTTCACTCCAGGTTTTCAGAATTAAATTTTGAATGCATTTATAATTTCTCGCGTGCGTACCATATAGTCCTGCTCCGAACATTTTATATTCAGTTTGAGCACATTAATGGTAGAGAAGAGAAAATTCTTAACCCTACGGAACTCGAACTCCGACCTCTCCCTCGGTCGTCCAGCCCGTATCTAGTCGCTCTACCGACCACACTATCCCGGTAAAGTAAGTAAAGTAAAGTAAAGCTATCCCTGTAACAGGCCGTGAAGGCCCATAGGGTTGTGAGACGTTGAGGGTCCCACATTATCTAGATAGTTGGCTCAAAGATGGCGGTAAGGTGACAGCCTTGCGCGCCGGCCGCGCTTTACTCCCCAGGAAAATTATTTAATTAATTCTTGGTACTCATTTCTGTCAGAGGCTGAGTAAATCCCAGGGCCATAGTGCGGCTGGAAGGATGAGGTCATTTAAAAAAAAATCCAATGACTTCATCGGGACTTGATCCCGCAACCTTCCGACTTGTAGCATAGTGCCTTAACCAACTACAGTGTCTGAAAATAACTGGTCCAACATTTCAGTTGGAAATGAACACGCTTTACTGTTTTTGAAAGGAAGTGTGAACCGGCTACCCCTTCAACTCCCAGTCCGTTGCAGTGTCACAGTTCTGTGGAGACCACGATACACACACACATCTCACCTATGAGAGCAGTCTGTACTGTCCGCAACCACCAACCATGACCTCTTAGTATTCGGAAACTTTTTCCCCATTTAAATATATGAAATATTTATAACAGAATTTCCTGCCTTCTCACCCCCCTTACACACGAGTCCCATCATGCACAGTGTTTTTGGGTTTTGTTCAATTTAACTCCTGTTTTTCTTTACAGTTGGTATCGTACCTGGGAATCGTCTTGTTTCATGCATTGGACTTCGGGTTGAGCGAAGAAGAGGAGCGACATCTCAGTCCGGACCTCGAGAGGCTTATAGACATGATGACAGCTTCCGGTAAGCTGCATAATTCCAATTCCACCAAACTTTTATGGCGGGAATATACCACCTTTTTACCTTTCAGGTTGTCCTCGTACCATTACCTGACGGATAAATAGAACTAGTCTGGGATATAAGCATGTAACAGGAAATTGGCACGCAGGTTTGTTCTCAGACCAGTCTTCTTTATACAGAAGTAATATTTGTTTAATCCATTCTCACTCACTCATGGAACTGAGCCCATATTGGGAAGCTGCCAATTGTGCAGCTACTCAAGAACTTCCCAGTATTTTATGGAACCCGAAAGTTCATTACCTTGTTCACAAGAGCCTTCCACTGGTCCCTATTCTGAGCTAAATCAATTCAGTCCATACCATCCCATCCTATATCTCAAAGATCCATTTTAATATTATCCACCCACCTACGTCTTTGTCTTCCCAGCGGCCTCTTTCCTTCCTGCTTTCCCACCAGTATCCTATATGAATTCCTTCTTTCCTTCCGCTATTCGTGTTATATACCCTGCCCATCTCATCCTCCTTGACTTGATCATGCTTAATCCATTCTAGAATTTCAAATATTTGTACATAAAGTAACTAGGTATTTAGTCCTAACAAGTTTGTTTCAATTTCTGCGATTTAATTGATACTGCTATATTCACACCTATGTTTCAGTGTTCAATTCTTAAAACATTCCGAACACTTTAAACCAGTATGCTACCGAAAATATGTAATTCTCGGAAAATCCCACAAGACCTACTCACCTATTGCACAGAATTCCAGTTCTAAAAATTTGATGTTAATGCTCTACTAAGGCAACGCAAGTCTATAATATAAGAATGAAATGCAATTTAGGCATGAGTTAGAATTCCGGGCTCCTGTCTAGGTGATCATGGGATGAATGTTACTCAGGTCTGACATTTCATATTGCTGAGCGGGTCAGAGGCCGAGATCTCACTAAAGATCACTGTCGGCGTCCATTTGGTAAAGTTGTCTTAAAAATTTACAAAACTTTATACCTCAATAAGTCAGCTAGGTGGTACATGGGCTAGTTTTGATGTACATTCTGTATGTGGTAGTAGAAAATGTTGGCATCCCTGTCCCAGAACTTGAAGTCGATGACTTTTTTTCGCTTAGTGGGGGGTGGAATCCAACTGGTTCCACTCGGAACGGCTCCACTGATTGGCCTATTGTAGGCTGCCCCGTGTGATTATGATGATGGAGAATTTGATGGAATGAAGACTGGCAAGGGAAACGGAAGTACTCGGAGAAAACCCGCTCCATCCCCAATTTGTCCACCACAAATGCAAGTCGATGACTTCGTGAGGTGTCTTTCAGAGAAATCATTTAGAAACATTTATATTGCGGCGGTATGTCCAACAACGAAACACGCGCTGGGTTAAGAGAACCCGCATCGCTTTATGCGAACACGCATCGTCACTCATGCGACAACAGTGATGAAGTCACTCCACTGGGACTTCCGTTCGAGAGGTCGAGATTTCAGTGGCGGTACCTCATGTCAGCAAAATTCGAGCTTCCTATTTCACTGGGCTGAATTGTTCAATTTTTAACATTGACAAGAATGCAAGTTCAGTGGCTGATCTCCTGCTACTAAGATTTGATTCTGCTGTGTAATAGAGATGGGATGAGTGATACCTGCCACACAGTGAGAAGATTCTTCGTCCACGGATACCTGATACGAGTTATGTCTTGAGGAAACTCTGAATACGCTTAGTCACAGAATCTGTAAGTAAGCCACTGAGGAAAGAGCCATGATAGCTCAGTCGGTATTGCGACGGGCTACGTGATGGACGGACGAGCTTCGACTCCCGGCAGGGGCAAGAAATTTTCCTCTTCTCAGCAGCGCCCAGACCGACTCTGGGGCCCACCCAGCCTCCTATCCAATGGGAACTGATGGCTCTTTCCCCGGGAGTGAAGCTGACAACTTACTTACATATAGTGCCGAGGTCAAAAATGGTGAGGCTGTACCTTCATTCCCCCATGCGTCTCCATGGCGTTGTGCGTAATTAAGTAATCTCAGGAGAAACTTTGCCTTTATATTTACGCCACTGGGGAAAGTGAGCTTGCAAGCGTGACACATTCAGGATATGAGGGTGAGACGAACCACGTTCAAGGGCACACGCTGTTGTTTGGATTGATAGTTACACAACACGCTGAAGTAGCACTGACCTCTAATCCAAAATATACCACAAGTAAGTTACATGTATAGGCCAGAAGTGGCCTGGTACAATGCACTTAGTCCGAACCCACTAGCAATGAAAAAAAGTTACATGTGTTGATACAATTATAACGGATTTGCTCAAAGCATTTCCATGCAATGGCTCGGTGAACACGTTCCAATGTGCAACAATGGAAAATGTGTCTCAGTGGACAAATGTTATAGCTCCATGCTAGGCAACAGTAAGCGCGCCAATGAACTCGCTGGCTAGGAATCACGTGACCTGTGTTTTCTGCGTTGTCCGTGACACGGCTAAATGACGGAGCCCGTTTGCAGTCCAAGAGAGTTTTAGTTGAGTTTCGATGTTCCAGGATGATTGAACATTTTTATATTATTCTTAGCTGGAAGAATTTCGTGCTGCTGTAATCATTAACATTGGATAAGAGTTAGCAGTTTCCTTGGGTCTATCCTGAATTTTAGTGTAGATATTTTAGTTAGTTGGTATGCGATCTGGCTTATTAGGCTGGCCCTGCAAGCAATTCAGTAATTTAAAATTAATGGACAAATGAGTGGTGCTTTGTGGTCATCTCAATTCATATTAAGAATGGTCAAAATTCGTAACTAAATGCAACAGCGTTTTTTTTAAATATTCCTAATTAGAATTCATATCCTGCTGACAAATAGTTGTCTCCTTCTAAGGTTTCTTCCTATTCAAACGTTCAGCTCATTAACACAGCCGAAAAGAGTCATTTGTGAGTAAAAGCTTGCTTCAGCTTCACACATGGCGAACACAGTGGCCGCGCGGTCTAAGGCACAAAAACACTGGAATCGTGGGCTCGAATACTGCTAGAGGCATGGATGCTTTTCTGCAGTTGTCCTGTGTAGGTAGCGGCCTTGCGATGGGCTGATCCCCCGCCCATGTAATCCTAACAACTCTCTACAAGGTTCGTAATTTCAGAATTAATTAATTCTGAATGGCCAGCAGACAGAGGGCCTAATCAGAAAAGTTAGAAGAAAATAAATTTCGTAAATACACATAATATAATCTTTGATTCTCGTTTTACGTCCTGAAAATAATTCTGGGTGTTTAGTGCTTTTAGTTTTAACACTTCTCATTTACTGCAGGCAATACGCATGGCACTAGTAATAAGAAATAGAGTGTCTCATCTCTAATATGGGTGTTTCTGATGTGATACAATATGAATGTTGTGCCTTCATGTCACCTATGAATGTAGTTCACCCACGAATTGTATGCTCCAAAGAAAATGCATTATAGTAGTCCCGATTGGCAGAAATTTTGAGACTGCTGGTCTCGGTTCCACGGAAGAAGAAGGCGTGATTTCTGGTTCTTTTAACATGTGCGTTAAAATCAACATCACATACAGCTATAAGAGTAGGAAGAACTCAGCTAATTTCGCAGTCCGATTAATTCCATAGTGTCCAGACAATTATTCGTTGTGCGTCAGACTAACACAAATAGGTCACCTGGCATGCAGGCTTCATAGGGCCTTGTAAACATACAAAAAAGCGGAATATATTGTAACGCTATTTATGCAAACCATATGGAAATCTAATTAATTATAAAACGACTGCAACCAATGCTGCTGTTTCTTACACATTTTAAGTTTATTGCAAATATGTTCATACACGTGCTTACTGATTTGAATTAATCGACGTGCACGAGTGGATTCAGTATGAGATTTTCTTTACTGACATACGCCCGTTTTGCACTTCTAAATATTCTTCCTGTTCCATGTACCTTACTTAATGACGCCGTCAGCATCTTGATCACACCGCGTCGGTCCGACGTAAACACAGCAATCATTAGGGCGCTAGGGGTCCGGAGTAGGATTCATAACTTCCAAAACTGGATACTACTTTGAAAGGTTGCAAAACACAACTCCGTGGCCTGTAGTTCGCAAGCGAACTATACCGACCGAGCGACCGCCGCTTGTCGGCGAAGTTAGTACCAACTCTAGCGGATGGAGAGTGTCGCGTGGTCAGCGCAACGGTTTCCCACGACCGTTAATCGCGGTTTTCTAGACCGGAGCCGCTATTTCTTCAGTTATCCTCACGAGGCTGAGTAGACCCCGTTCCAGACCCACCACTTCTCAGAAAATCTGGTAGAGCCGGGAATCGAATCTGGGACCCGTGGATCTGTAGCCAGGAACTCTGACCACTAGAGAACAGAGGCGGTCTGCAAATCAGAAACTGCAAACAAATGCTGCTGCCAAGAGTTGATAAAATTCTACACTGTACCATTCATTAGTCCGTACTGATACAAGAGTACGTTTGCATGTTATACAGGCTGCCACCAAACCAGGAGAAAGAAAGATTTTTTTTAAGAACGACATGAAAGCTGCGGTTGGATGATTTTTGAGGTACGGGTGAGCAATGAACAAGGTCTAGAACAAGAACATGATTCCACCCTCAACAGTCGTAAGAAAAGGCTGTTGACTTCACCCCCATCTGAGAAGTGTAAATTTTTAAAAGGGAAATGGCATTTGGTTTGACCTCGGAGGAAGAGACTGAGAGTATTAGCTACATAACTGAGATGCAGCCCATTGGTTTCGGACTTAGTGCAACAGATGTGAGGAGTCGTGTTTCAGATTACAAAGAAAAGAACGCTTCACTATATGTCCCCAATTTCGTGCGTTTCAGTTGTGATGAAGAATCCATACAAAGAATGTAAAATTTCGTCAACAATATTCTTCAAAGTAGTATTATTTTCGAATGACTAGAAATTGAATATACTCGTACATATGTGCATGCCCCCCAAAGGTGTCTCCACCTTGTCGTGGTGATGGAACTTGCGTGACTCTTGTGACCTGGAGAGCTATGCC